TGGACGAACCAAATTTAATGGCACAAGATTCCTTGCCAGTCTTACATTACCTGTAATTTTTGGGTCACAAGATATGAGATTTTTTTCTGTAAAACTGGAAAAAAACAGCGGAAAGAAATTCCCCTCACAGTATGTCTAAAACCAGTTTCCAGTGGCAGCTGGCAAAGGGCACTTGGGCAGCCCAGTTTTGCCCCCAGCAGGCAGGAAGCTCTTTACACCTTACACTTATGGCTGCTTCATACACCATTTTGAGTTTAGGTTTTTCAGCCCAAATCTCAGTTTTTAACCAGGATTTCTAAACTATTCAGACCTTAGGATAACTCATGTCAGAAAGGGTGCAGGGTTTTTACATACAGCACTATGTGTAATTAATTTCAAAACGACTTCAGGTTAAACTGTATGTAATGAACTACGTAGTTTCTGTTGGCTACAGAACTCCACAATGGTTTTTTAACCTTTCTTTTCCTACTGTTGTCTCTCTTCTATCCTTGTTCTATTAACTGTTTTCATTTAATTACCTGTAGCTCTGCTTTAGTATTATTGTTTTCCTTATCTCCAATACCTAAGAACTCTGATCAGTGTAATCCAGTGTATGATAAAACAACATTGGATTTCTTTGAAAATCCTAAGGTAAAATGAGAAAGCTAAATACATCCTAAAACTGATTTAACTCATTCCCTTCCTTGGCAAAATCAGGACAAAAAGCGAGGAAGGTGAGCAGAGCAATGGTGAGCTGAGCACAGCAGGTCCCACTGGCAGCTCAGCCCTTCCAGTTCATCTATTTCATTATGCTGTGATGGGTTACAAGACTCTTAATAATTGCTCTTCATAGAAACATTAAGACACACTTTGAGGAAGAAAACAGTATTCCAGTACTTTTCTGTGAAAAGGCTACAAAGTTCCGTGAAGAAATGATGTGATCAAAAAAGCAGTCACTTCAAGGGAAGACCTTTGACTAATATCTCATTATAAAACCACAGATCAAATTGGTTCCCCATAACCTTGTTCCCAGAGGTTTTTGAAGCCATCGGAAGGTGTTTGCTTGTACTTGTCAGTGATGTTAAACTAATGGGGCTGTCCTTCTTGCTTCCCTCTCATAGGGAAAAATGCCAGACCTCCGAGGCCACTGTAATTCCTTTAAAACCAAGGACTTTGATGTGGCTGCTGTAGATCACCTTTCATCCCTCTCAAAAAAACAAAACAAAACAAAAGAGGAAAACAATCACATATATTTGAAGATGCAGCCTTAAAGGGGAAAGGGCAAATATGTTTAATGAGTTGACATGTCAACGACATTTGCACTTGAGGCACCTGCACGGGCCCTGGTGACACGGCGTCATTTCCCACACGCTTGGGGGCACCTGTGAGGCGCCAGCACAGGCTCTGCGACAGCCTGGGCTATTTGTGAGTGACTTGGTGCGGGGCCGGGCACCTCGGGCCCGCAGCCCCGAGGGGCCGCCGCCGGTGCCCCGAGCCGGTACCGGCCCTCAGGGGCCGCCCCGCGCCGTCCCGCCCGCGCCGCCATCTTCAACGGCCCCGCCGCCCTCACACAGGTGGGACCCGGCGGGGACGGAGCTCCCCGGGCTTGGCGGCCCCGGCCCCTATCCTGAGCCCAATCCCGGCCCCGACCCCGACCCCGACCGGGATCCCGACCCCGATCCCCGTTCCGACTCCGGCCCCGAACCCCACCTTGGTCCCAGCCCCGGCCGCTGTGGCTGCTCAGCAAAGGCGGAGCCGCAGGTGGTCGCGGGTCTTGTGTCAAAGCGTTTTGCGGTCCAATTTTTATAAAGCGAAAGCCTCGATTTTAAGTTATTTTTCCCCTTAATTCTGCACGTTGTGCATAAAAGCTTTGCCCGTTGGAGCAGCAGTAGTCTTGCAATAGCTTATTAATGGTCTTTCTGCTCATTTATTATGGTAACTTGTATTTTGAGAAAATATATAGTGGTGTTACAAACTCAGCTTTAAATATTTAATATGTGGAATTCATTTGTCTGGGAGATACTAAAACCCTTCATCAGTGATGAACTGCTTTCCCTGGCGTGTCCCAGGCACCATAAATCAGCTCTGGCTTTGGGCCCATGACGGTGAGTTATATGTATGAACAGTCTTGGGTCTAAGCCTGTGTGCCCTGCCAAAAATAGTGTATTCGTGTCATTTTCAATGCAAATTCCTAGTATGTGCAAATTCACTTTATTTTGCTTCACAGATACGACTTTGGAATTAAAAAATCTTAAATAAACATTGCTTTTCCAACATTGGGATATTGATCAGAAGCTTGTATTCTTATACTTATGTAAATAGTGCCTTTTAAGATAAGGGACTAAGCATGACTGTGAAGGGTTTTAGGTCTGTGTGAGTCTGTCCATCCTGTCTCTCCTGGATTTAGAACAGTGCTTAGTACTAATTAGATTAAGAAAGCATGAACTCTGTTTGCATTTGCTGTTTGTGAAATACTCTTTTTGCTTGTCACTTTCAAAGGACCAGTTGTTGGAATCCGGGGCTACAAAACACCAAATATTATTAAAATATATATAAGAAGCTGTCATAGAATGGAGATATTTTTGCAGAGTCCTGAGTGTCTTGGGTGAATGGAAGGAATAAGGGGCCCTTTGGATACTGCTACTTTATTGTTCATGTAAGAAGCATGGTGAAACTATAACCAAAGTCACTGCACAAACCAAGACATCACAAGGTAAATTCAGATAGGAATCTGTTAAAAAATAAATATCTTTCATTGTTGGTTAACTTTATAAATTACTTTCTTGATTATTTGTCATTGACTGATATGTTAGGCCTGTGTTTCCAGTTGGACAGACATACATGGTTCATGGTTCAGGGTAATAAAAAAATAATTTTGACCTGTGACTGAAAAATGATAAAGCTACTAATTTATGGCATTCTACAAAGATGTCATAAAACTCCTATTTATTTGATATCTATGCAAAAAAAATTGAGGACTTGAATTTCAAATTGCTGTTGATTTTTTTTTTAAATAGTCCCTCTGGATTTTAAGTACTCTTGGATTTTAGACTTTCTGGAGGGACTGGGAAGAGGAAAGGTGAAAAGAGGAAAAATACCACAACTATCAATTTTCCAGACCGTTCTCTCCTTTAAGAATAGCTTACTATAATTCAACACAATAATACTTGATGCATAATAGAAGCACTTTTTAACGTTACCTCAGTAATTATGTGACAAATATGTCATTCACTTAATGGTTTTAGTGGCTACCAATCTTAATAGCAAAGGTAATTTCTAGTCTTCATTTGTAGTAATGAAACTTGGTAAGTTATAATTAAGAAATATAGGAGCAAAGATGTATTGCAATGTCACTTGCAGTATTTTTCCTGCCTTAATGAAAAACAAACTGACATTTCGCTGATTTCACAGAGGTGTTTACAATGATCAGATTTGTAGCTGAATGACTTGTCCAAACACAAATGCTTGTAAACTGAGGGTCAGTTTACCTTCCACTGAAGTTAGGAGGAGTCACGTGGTTATGAATTTGGTACCTACGACAGTCATCCGTTTTCTGAGTCTGCTTAGAATGTGTTCTGCAAATTAGCAGATAATCTACCTTGTCCCTATGAATGTCAGTTCGAAACACAACTGCACTGATGACAAATTTTAAGCCAGAATACTGGTAGTAGTCCCTGAAAGAGATGAGTTCGTTTTTTCAGTCTCAGAACTTAAAACTTTTTACGTGGTGACTTCTAGATGAGAATTCTTCACATTTATTTAGTCCTAATATTTTTCCTGAGAAGTAATAAGGCATAACAGACCTGCAAAATATGTGAGTGCTGTGGTAGGTGCATGATGCTTGGCAAGTCTGAAACTGATCTTTAAAGCAAAAGTTAGTAAAAATACTTTGACCCAAGGGAAAAGCAGTGTATTCCTTTGCATCTCCTTGACTTAAAATTAATAATAAATAAAACCTGGGTGATGGGAACATCCTCAGTCCTAGAATGACAAGAGCCTCAGAGTATAAGTTACAGGGGTACACTCATCAGGAGGGCTTGGCTCCTGTCTCTCATTCACTGCAGGTCCTTCACATTCTGCTCTGGCAAAGGGAATCAAAACAGATTCATGATGCCACTACTTCTCACCAAGACATGAATCATACAATTTTGAGTAGTTCTGGCTTGTTTAAAGGCTGTAGATAATAATAAAGATAGGGCTGCAGACAGAAAAATGAACAGTGATTTCAGAAATAACTGATCTTTATGTTAGAGAGAAGGAAAAGGCTAATACACTTGCTTTAAAAGTGCATTCTTCAAAAGGTATTTCTAAAATGTCTTGTTCATAATTAAGTAGTTCAATATAACTATTAATGTAGTAATTTTTTTTAAAATGCCAACAAGTAGAAAATCTCTATAGGAAATGGTCTAAAACATAGGATAATGCAACTGGTGTTTTAGAAGTGCAGTGACCATATTAGTTAAATTTGATCAAAGTGCTAACTACAAGTTTTGATAGGCCTGTTACAAATGCTGTGGTTTTTAAATTTCATTTTCCTTATAATAAAAAAAAAAAAATTATGAACTAATATTTCTGGAAACAGCGTGGGATAAATTTACAATATCTGATTGTTTTTCCATTTTTCTGATGTTTCTTCCATGTTTTTCCAAGAATGAGAAGGTCTTCATTGATTAAAAATAAGGACTGACATAAAATTACTAGTTCTACTTGGAATATAAGCAAAGGCAGCCCTGAGTACTTGATGCACAAAGAGAATGTCTTCCAAGACAGGGTCAATATTAATATTATTTTGGTGTTAATTCTTTTGCAGTAGCACTCTGATGCAGTTGATAAACATTTCTACTCAAAAAAATACTTAATAATAGTATTCATAGGTTTTAAAATATGGCTGGAGTGTCATTACAGGATTTTTTTCAGGTCAAATCCTACATAAAGTTGTTTGTTTGTTTTTCAGCATAGCTTGCAAGTGTCTTTACTGACTGAGAAGCTAAAATTATTTTCTGCCTATGAAAGCTGGAAAAATGTTCAGAAACCACTATCAGGTAAAACAGAAATAATTCTAATTTTTACCCATTTTCATTTTGTCTCTGAGAGAGCTCAATTAAAATAGTTTATCCTGAGATGCAAAAAGTCCAGCTACAGAGTGTTTTGGAGTGTTTCATAATTCAGTATTTTTGTAGAAGTGTTACGAAGTAGTGGGTACCTGTCAGGTCTAGAATGGGCACAACATGAGTTTGCCAAAGGCTTTTGTTCCTCACCCATGTGAGCCAGGGAAGGACATCTGCTTCCATGCAGTCATGGAAGGAGTCCCAGCTCCTAAGGTGTAGTCAGAAAAGGGGGTTGGTTTATTCCCTTGGTCCAGCACAAGCTTGTGACAACAGCAGTCACATTATTTGTAACTTCATTATCTCTTTTACTCTTTCCTGGCCTCTCTTTCCACCACACTTTGCCCTCCCTTTCTCTGCACCAGTCCCATCCTGAGAGAACAGCCCACCCCAACTACATTTTCCCCTCTGGTCCCAGATGTGCTACTTCTGTACCCAAAATTGGCATTTCTGATGCTGTTCCCTAGGCTGTCTCAGCTTTTCATGGAATTTCTGATGCCTAGCTGCCACTGGCTTTACAGGTTGTGCTCCCAAAGATGCCCCATACTCCCCTCCAGTTGATTCTGGAGTTTGGCAGTTTCTTGCCTAACTTCACTGGGACCCCTCGTGCAACCCAGCCATCCTCCACAGCACCAACTTTTGTCAGCAAAAGTTGCATCACTGTTTGTTTGACATTTTCTTTTGTCATGTCTGGTATTTTTCCATGTCCTGTTCAGTTTAACCTCAAATCAGAGCCAACTCAAGGGCTGTGCTATTAACAAAATATATTTGTAAAGATGGAAGAAAAAGCCACTTGTTTAAGATTTGCTGCAAGCACACAGAGCTTGGCAGTTAAAAATCTTTTAACTTTTTGAGAGCTTGATCCTGTAGCCCTTAAATAAATGAGGTAATTTGGAAGCTGATAGTATACCATATTAAAAAAAAATCATCCATTGTAAGTTTAAAAAATATTTTGCGTACAGTTTATGGACTGCCATTTTGAATTTCCTTAAAACTTAGTCCAGTCACTGGGATCAGCCATGTGGCTGAAGCTGCCAGGTGTGTGTGGGCAGAGGAAAATACCTAATTCATATACACTGCGGAGTTGATGTTCTCTGAAAAATTTTTCAATCTGAGGAGCATTTCTTTTGCTTGCCCCTCTTGCTCATTCTGACTTGCAGGCAATTGCTTGGGCAGCTGAGCATAAAGAGAATTGGGGAGTGCAGGCAACTAGAAATGAGAAGGGAATGGCAGAGTTGTAATGATTGATTAGGTCAACCATGCTGCTGAAAAATGCTTAGCAAACTGCAGGCTGAGTGCATCAGATGTCATAAAAAATGCGAGATCAAATGGCAAAAATCTAGAAGCAAGTAATTCCCTAAGCAGAGGTGATAAAGCCAACCTCCCCAAGAGCCTGTGTTTGGATTCCTTGATGTCCAATAGGGCACATGCTCTGTGTCAGGAGTTTTCACCTGACAGGGACATCTATAATAATCTTTTTCCAGTAGTAATTCTCTGTTCCCTCATGAAGGCTGTAGCCCTAACCCTTTTCATGGTGATACTGACTGGAACAGATCTGCTCCCAGGCTGCTTAAGTTGGCCCAGAAAAGTTAGTGAATTTTTGTTTTTTCAAATCAGGTTGAAATGTGGTAAGTAGAAGTTACTGAAAAATATGTAGGCAGAGCCATTCACATATGTAGACAAATGATGTAAACTTCATTTCCTTTGGAAATCAGACAAAACATCCAATCTGCAACACCTTTTATTTTTTTTAGCAGCATGTTTTAAAACTCAATTCATTTGGCATATTGTAGAAATAAATCTTATCTAAATATAAATTAATCATCTCTTGCATGGTTTTTGAATATCTACAACAGTTTTGCTTTTTAGAGAATGACATAATAGATAAAATAATTTTTAAATACTCCTACAATTTTATCTTCTAATCCTCTAGTAAAGCCAAATATTGACTACAAGAATTGATATGTTATAGTAGTCTAGAAGTTGTTATTGATATTCTGCTGTCTCACTGATCAGTAGTACTGACTGTGGTAACAACATGATACAGAGGGATTCTTAGGTTCTCATCTTGACCCTTGATCATTTAGTGCTGAGCATTTGACTGGCTGATGTATCCTTAAACCATTTTATCATAGGGGGGCCGGTTTGTTGAAATATTCAGTGCTCAAGGCAAGAACCCAGGAGCAAAATGGAAGATTTTTGGCAACCCATCAGCTATATCAAAAGTAAGTTTTTAAAGAAATCTATAAAACCTAGAGTATAAACCAGAAAAATGTGAATGAAGCTTAAAATTAGAAGGTAATGAGGGCTTTGACCTGACAGTGGAGTTGTCGCTTGCAGTTCTGTCATTTTGGCAGACTAAATGACTACTTAAATTACTTCTATATGCCTGCTTGCAGACTGAGTTGGTCACAGTGTAATTTTACAGTTTAAATATTTAGAAAGTAATTTTGGCACTCTGTTAAGCAATGAATTGGGCTTTGCTCACTGAATCGTGAATCCTGTTTGTCAGCAATATTTGTTCATAAAACATACAAGGACAAATTTGTGTGGATTATATTTTTGCCATCAAATGTGAACCAGTCATACATGCAGTGCCATCTGCATTTTCTGATATGTTACTAGCATGGTTAGTTAACAGGAGGAGAATTCTATCAGGATGCTTATGTTTGTTGTTCCTTTCTGTAGGAATACGACAAAGAACTAAAAGGCTTTGTTTTTGTGCTTGAAGGAAACAGTCTAATCAACAAAATGAAGCTACCAAGGGAAACCAAACAAACTTGTAGGTATCAAAAATTAAATGTCTGTGATGCTGTTCTGATTATTACATCAATCTTGTACTGGATGCTAAACATTATTCTCCCTTAGTTCAGGCATAATTCAGCATAGGAAAAGTTTTTTCATTAACTTTTTAGCAGGTCACTGACAAATAAGTAAACTTAGAGAAATGCCATATTAGAGTGTGTTGTAGGAAAGATCTAACATGTCCTGGTGCTGCCAGTTCACTTTGTACCTGGTCCTGCTAAAGACTGATAAATAACCTCTGACTCCATTCAGCACTTACTGCAGTTAGTAATTCTTCTGGCATTAATTAATGTGAACTAGGTTCCTGTCCCCTTTCTTATTTTACTTTTTAAAGACTTTTTACTTTTGTATCAAATAAGCACTAGTGGTACAAGAAAGTTATACCCAAATACTCAAATTTCCACTGTGTTTATGTAATCAGTGTTTAAGGGTTCTATGGAGTGTTTTCCCAGGATGTCTGTTGCAGCACAATAATCCAGAATCCAAGCAGTCTGCAATGCAGAAGTCATCATATGCTTTAAACTCCATGTCAGGGTGCTGTACCTTATAAGGCTTGTGGGAGTGAATTGAGCTGGCTTAGAATTAACTGCTTGCTTTTGAAGACAAATTGAGATGGATTTAAACAAATGGAATGGGAATCTTCTAGTGTACTTCTAATGCAGGGTATACAGTAAGACATAAGTTTTTTTCCAATAAACACAAGAAAAAAGAAGAAAAAGAATAAATTATTTGGGCTGGTGACTCTGTAAGGCCTTGAAGTTTAGTCTGATTTTCATAAAAGAAATTGGGTGTTATCTTCATTAAAATAAATATTAATGCAATGTATATTTTTGAGAAACCAAACTAATTTATTTTCAATGGTACAATAAACTAATATAGCAAACAGTAAACAGTTAAAAGAAGAACAATTGCTAACTGTTGCTAAATATTAAAATGAGGATTAAGAATTAATTGTGTGGGTAATCACTGCTAAAAATAGTTTGGTTTTAAATTTACTTTTGCTAATGCTGCAATACTGCAGTCAGGTTTCCATCTGTTACCATTCTGTTTCCTTCTGTCTTGGTCTCTTCCTCTCTTGAGGTGTATGTACCTCAAGTATTTAATTAATCAAGTATATGATCTCCCAGTTGCACTGGAACTTCATATAGTCTTCCAAAATAAAAGATACTATATATGCAAATCTAATTTGACGTTTTAAGGTGTCATTTGGCCCTCAAAAGAAGAAAGTTCTGATTTGTCATTCTTTAGAGGAGGAGCCAGTGTTTCTGTTCAGGCTCGTGAAGTCAATGAAAAGCAGCCTGTATCGTCCCTGATGGAATATCTAAGAAAACAACATATGCTTCAATTCAGACAGCTTTGTACTGTTTTCCCTAGATAGGGAGCTACCTGCATTTTTTTGTTTTCTCCCTCAGTCAAACTCCTTTGCTATTATTCTAAAAATCAGAAACCTCCACTGAGCAGCATTGTCATGATCTGAATTGCATCCTTACCCAAGAGTTTTGTTGAAGTTGCTTAGCAAGGTGTACATTGTCACCAACATGAGTGTAAATGTAATGTGACTATAAAATAATCTTGATAGCACAGTATTACTTCATTTTATAATTCTTATGGGATATTTATTGTCTTCATGCTCTTGGAGCACAAAAATTGTAAGCTAAAAAAAAGGTTTCCTTTGCTTTCATGAGAATTTCACCAAAGCCACAGATGGGACTTTTAAAACAATACTTTTATTGCAGTTTGAATTGGATTTCTTCAGGTTTTTCTCGTGTTCATATGTTGTGTGAACCTTGGGAAATAGTGTTGTAGGAGCATAGCATATGGTACAAAATCGAAATGCTGGACAGTGAAATGTGCATCTGCATGCACACAGCACTTTTTTTTTTTTTTTCCTTTTTCTAGTGGGACTGGTGCAGCAATTTCTGACACTTCAGATTTTTGTGCCATTGGGAAAAGACTTCTCCACTGAGTTACTGTAAGATGCATAAAATTTCTTTGAATACTTAAAGTGAATTCCTGATTGCGGTTATTAATTGTGGTGGCATATTTTGCATTAAAGCATGGTGACTTGTCAAGTCAATAAAAAGTAATTAAGCTAATGAGATCATTATTTCTTAGATGTTTTAAATACTGACATTCCTTTGAAGACAGAACAAACTCAAAAAAATCCTGAATGAAGATGATGAAAAATCCAAAGAAATGAAGCACAAATTTGTCAAACATATGAAAATACTAATGCATGAGGACTGCCTGAAAATTCATAAGAGACTTATTCATAAGTCATAAGAGAGGGCCCTTTGGTCCAGGGCAAAAGAAATACATATTCTAATAACTGGAGGAGAAAAACACAACCAAACAAATACTGAAAAGCTAGAAAATCTAATGGAGTGCTTGATGAGTATCATTTGTTCCACACTGTGAAGAAAGAGAGATACAGCAGAAGCAGACATTTTATTAGTTAGGTGTGAAATGATTTAATGGAGTTTTAAACTTGGGCAGTTGTCAGGCTTTGGACAACATTTCTCCCTTAGTGACACCATCTGTTTATACTATATATAAACAGCACAACTCACTCAGCTTTGTAGCCTATAGAATGTCTGAGATTGGACTAAGAAAAGAAATATTAGGCCATTAGAAGCTCTGCAAGAAAAGATGGGTCGAATGATATCAATTAAATTAGCAATTAAATTGTGTAAAGTGAAAGAAGGATTTGATTTTTGTTTGACTTTCTGTAAGTTTGCATTTAAAGGGACAAAGGGACAAAAGAAACAGGATATGTCATGCAGCACACAGAGACCAAACACCAAGTACCAACTCAAAACCAAGATTTGTTTCACGTTCATTCTGTAGGCAGGGACAGAGATTTAATGACAGGTGCAGGAATTCAGATTTTTTTGTAGTGTCATCTTCAGTTTGATTCTTTTGGGTATTTGCCACCTTCTTAACAAGAACCTCTTTTCTACTTCTACTTATTTTTTTTTTCTCATTGCTTGCTTTTTGATAAAAACGTTTTCTATCACCTCTTCCACACTTATTTGCCTTTTCTCTTTCCAGACTTTACATTTTTTTCATCTTCTCTTTCTACTTCCTGTTCCCATCTTTACTATGCCACTCTTATAAAAGAAAATATATGTTCTTATTATATTCTTAGGTACTTGTATAGATTTAAATACGTGTATTTTGTATTTGCTATATATATTTTTAATGTAACATATACTGTATTGCTATATAATGCATATAATATAAACTATATTAACTATATTTTCTCTGTAGCTCCAGTTACTTGGAATGAAGGTGTTTATGTCTTAAAAGTACAATATTATTTGTTCCCCACTTAGTGCTGAATGAAAAAGTTAATAAAAATTCTTTAAAAATATACTTAATATTAAGTTTTATATTTGAAATCCACTATAACTTTATAACCCATAAAGTCCTCCAAGACTTGCAGAATAGTCAATGCATTATTTTATCCTAGCAGACTTAAGATAATCCAGTAAATAATAAAGACAAGTCCTTCTTGCCATGTGACTGCTGTTCAGCTCCCTTCTTTTCAGATATTTTGAAAGAAATTTCTTGCTTGTTTGCAGACAGAGTGTTGATGGTGTTGTTACTGCCTGAAGTTTAATGTTCAAAGATGGTTTCTTATGCAGCCTGACTACTTAGTGCTGAATCTTTGAGCAGCTTCAAGTGAAAATTGATAGCATGCCAAGCTATGAAATTTACTTTATGTAAAAATCACTGACAAGTTTTGTAATAGCTGAGCATGAAGCTTTATGTTGCATTTCTTGCTCTCCCATTCTGCAGAGAAATGGAAATAGGAATTTAGTTTGAGCGTCATCTTCTTTCGCATTCTGTTCAGTGATTGATTTGGTCAGCAAACAAGAATTTCTTTAAGACCATCCATCACTGCTGGAATCAGCAGAGCTAAACTGTCTAACTTGCTGTTGTCAACCAGTCATTCGAGATTCCTGCCATAAATACTGAAATGTAACCATATATTAGCTGGTTTGTCTTTTCTTCAAAGGAAATCTTAATAGAATTTTAGATACTTTTTTATGTGGCATGATTAGATGAATACCACCACATTAACAGTCAATGTATTGATCTGCATAAAAATGTGTAAAATAGATTGTGGATGAAAAAATTGATGAAGCATAATAAAATCACAACTAAGGTAGAGAGCTTGTAATTTATGCAGCTTCTTTGGAGCAAATAATAGCAAAGCTATTAGTAATGCTGAATATAGCTGTCTGCTGCAAATGCAGTAGCCAGTTGTTAAATCTTCAGTGTTATGGATTTTGCTACTTTTCTGAAAAAGCAAAGGTAACTCAGTGTTTGAAAAAATATCTGCATGTAAAAGAAAACAGCATCTGGCTTGTGTTGTTAATTTTTGCTTTAATTCCCAATACATGGACATGTGGGTGTTAGTACTTCTGCTTGGCATTTTGACAAGCATTCAAACATTTATTCTTAAAGAACTGTAATGGAAGTCATGGTCATACTTTGTTTCTGATACAGTTTTGGGGTCTTGTATGAGTCCCTGTGTATTGCTCATTTTTTTCCCAGTTCAGGCATGGTACTTACATCCATTGCTGCAGCTCTGAAGTCACGCTGCCTCTCTCACTGATGGCCAATTCATGCTGCTTCAAACTTGTTTAAATCTTAGCATAACAAACAGCTGTAAATCACATGTGGCACAACTTGTAGCTAGGGAGGTCTGAGTTCTCTTATGAGATCCCCTCAGCTCTGACATGAAAACCTGCAGAGCAAGCGTGCCCATTGTCAGTGGGAGCTGCTGCTGCCCCCAAGCCCAGACTTGGTGCTCGGTGTTAACATGCCGTGGGGCTCTGCTGTGCTGCCACTTCCTAGATTCACTCAGTACCTCATGGACCATCTTTCCTGCCAGAATGTGCTGAGGATTCACATGATTGCTCATTCACTCTAATGGTACCTATGTCTCTTAATTTAATTCTTCCTGATGTTCCAGCCTCAGCCTTTCAACCTTTGCTCAGCTGGCAAAGTGCTTATCAGCAGGTTGGCTCAGTTACTATCTCACTGTTCAGAGTCAAATTAGCTTTACTTGCCACCAGCCTTAGCCAGCTCCAGAAGGCATCAACTCTTGTTATATTGTGAATTAATGTAAACTCTGTGAGAGTTTCACACTCTGGAACATACATGTTAAGTTTTCTGTTGAAACTAGTTATGAAGGAATCTGTGGGGGAAAAGGGGTTAAAATCTCTTTATTCCTGAAGTAGTTGTGCTTGCTGATAAGAAATCTTATTGCAAGGCATGTGGACAGTACAGTGAAATATATATTTTGGTACCATATTTCCTGTTTTAAACAGTTGTTTCTATAAATATAAGCTTATTACTTTGAGATTTTTAATAACCACAACATAATAGGATTTACAGGCATAGCTAATTTATTCATAGATACCGTAACAGTTTGAATTTATGTGAATTAGATGCTATCATAATCAGTCATCATTTTAGCTTTGTTGACAGAGATATCATAAATTATTCGTGTTAACCTAAACACCCAGCATGTTTTCAGATACAGAACAATATGAATCTTGGTTAGTCTTGCAAAACTTAGACCAACATCTTAAAATTCACAGCAGGACAGAGATGCTAATTCCATCATGTACATCTGAAATTATTGGATGATTTTAGATGGAGACTGGAGGTAAACTTTATTGAATAGATTTAGCTGAGAGATTATTTGAAATTCTGGTATTTAGTAGCATGAGACATGTTTGTTGATTTTTTGTGAAGCAGGAGTGAAATACAGAAATATTCTTGGAAGTATTAGGGTATGTTAAATTTCATCATTTGCAAAGGAGATTTTAACTCATATATTTGCAAGTAAAAAAATTTTTAATAACTCTCCTAGTAACCACATCTTCTAGAACTTTAGATGGAAGCACTAATAAGTACTAAAGTACTAATTATTTATATTTTGGTTGGGAGAGGTCAGGATTCACCATTTCTTCATAACTGCTCATATTTTGAAAGATTTTCATTCTAACAACCAGATTTGATGATTCTTGTTTTGTGCCTGCCACTTGTGTTACTCCCTCTTTATGGATACTGGTTAAGGGCACTTTGTGGGGTTTTTTCCTTAATGCTCTCCAGAAAAAAAAACCACTATCAACAGGAAATTCCAGTATACAGTACAACTTGTTCTGTAGATCTGGGTGACATATCAGTCTTCCAGATCTCTTGTTTTGTAGAGATTTGATGATTTTCAACATAACTACTTCTGTTTTTATGAGGGCAGGATACATTGCTCTGGATTGCAGATCATCAGGCAGCCACTTTAGTAACCCAGTGTCTCCTACAAGACCAATTTACAAGTAGCACATGAAATAAAATGTATTGAAGTACAGAGTGCCTCTGAATAAGGAAATTTGAGAATCTGAAAACATGGCAAATCAGCCAACAATTCGTATTCCTTTGTTTTCTGTCTTTAAAATGGAGGTGATGATGATGATAATGATGCTACCATGTAATGTTTAGGAAGCACACGCCTTTTATGGAGAAAATGGCACTACGGTTGTTAAGTACTAATATACTAATGTACCAATAGTGAAGCATTAGCAGAGAATTCTCTCTGGATTTTGGCCAACAACTAACAAAGAGATTTCTGTTAGTATTCAATTGCATGGAAGCTTAGCAACATCGATGAAATACCTGCTTTCATGTTTGGTAAACTTTCTGTTTATATCATTTATAAAAAGAAAAACACTTTCATTTGAAGACCAAGTGATCCTGAGAAATGAAGCATCCCTTCAACAGTTCAGTATTGTTTTTCCTAAGTTCATTTTTAGCCTTGAATTGAACATTAACAAATGGTTATAAATTATTATCCATACAGAAGCAAAGTGAATAGGCAATCTGAGCAGATGAGTCTGTCTGTGCTCTTGGGTAGTTGCTACCATTCACTTGCAATCTCACTATAGTTACCATTGTGAGGAAAATAGTCAATCAAATTTGAAGATGTAAAATAAAATTGAAAATTGAATTGGAAGGTAATTTTACTTTCAAATGGCTTGCAAATGTAGATGTTAAGTGTGAAATGAATGCAGTTAATGACCATAGCTGGAAGAGTTATGCACCTGCTGATCACAGGAATATTATTATAAATGAGGTTGATTTTCTTGTTGACCACCTCATTTTTCTCAACATGGTCTCATTACTTTTCTATCACGTCTGACCCTTAGATATAAATACTCAAGCACAGACATAATAAAAATACATTAACTCCCATATAGATTTTTTAAATTCATCTTTGAAAATCAAGATGTGTGCTGCAGATGTTTCTTGCTATTGTAGGTTTAATGTAAGTTCTGGTTTTGGATAGCAGGAAAAAAAGTTGTGTGTCACCAAAAGTACTCCAGAGTAATTTTGTAACTGAGAGATCTGATGTTCTAGCTCTCATTGTCTGAATTATTTCAGAAATTTCTTTATTTTTATTTTCCAATAAGCAATGTAATTTAAAAGTCTGAAAGTTACACTAACTCTTAAATAATTATCTTCCTTCTCCTGGGAAATAAATCATTTTATATAATTTTAAGCCCATCTTTTTTTTTTTTTTTAATTTGCCTGTTTGAATGTTTCACCTACTTTTGCCTGTGGAACATAAGTTTTTTTATTAATTTAAATATATTTACAGAAATAAATTACACTTCTTTAGGAGTGATCATATCTATGCATCTCAGGTTTGCCCCTTCCTTATGGCACATCTGTTGTCATAAAAAGTCTTACTTTAGACTTGTATGAGAGAGTCTGATATAAATGTATGTCTTTTGATCTTAACAACTGTGTTCAGTGTTACATTCTGGAATTTAACTGAGTTGTAAATTTACCAATGGCCCTATGGCCCTTCTATAACCAAGGTTCTTTTTTTTTTTTTTTTTTTTTCATGAGGGAGAGAGATAAACCTATTCCTGTAAGAAATAAATAATAAAATTTAAACGAATTGATAGTATTGAGTGAACTTAGATTTCATTGTCAGTTGTTTGGAGATATGCATGACTTAATTCTAGGCTCCTACTGTTCTGTTATAGCCTCATTTAAAGCAACATTCTCTGTTGAGAATTATGCAGTTTGAGGTTCAGCAGGGATAGTATTTTTGTTTCTCATTACTCAGGTTATTGCAACTGCCTGGTTTCTCAGCATAATTGCTCAGATCTAAATGCAGCCAAGAAATCCAGGGAGTTTCAAGCAGCCACTGCTTTGGACTTTTTTGGTGCACCGAATTTTAGCACTTCTGAACACCCAAAATTTAGAGTGAAGAGCTTCTGGAAACTAGATTCATAGGTTTTTCACCAAAGGCTATATGGGAAGTAAAGTGATGGGTGGAACTATGCCTTAATCAAAGGCTTAGCCACGTGGCCCATTTGTTGGTGATCATCATGGAATTATTTCACATCTTGCTTAAACTTCTTCAAAAGTAAGATCAAACCCAGGTACCAGCAGTGTAAGACACTGGGAGGTGTTCTGATGAAATCACTTTTCAAAGACTTGGTATAATTAGTCCATTCATAAAAATGTGTGCAGCTGATTCTGGAATCTTTCATGTCAAACAATAGCAATAGTGAGGATATAATAATTTTTTCTTGGTGCAGTAGTGGAATTTCTGCTTTTCAAGTGCACATGATTTTTAAAAGGAACTGCCAGTCTTTAAAAATGAAACAGATAGTAGAATCTTCCATTTTGTTTTCATTTGCCCACCCATGTTATGAGGATGAAGAGATTAAAGGTCAGGTTATCTGCAAGGGAGAGGAAAGAATCAGCAAGTTCTGGAAAGCTGGTGAACAGTTTGCTTTGGAGGATAGTCTTAATGACTATGGGGGAACCAGAAGGTGCTTATGTATTTTCATTGCCTGTACTGGCAGCACCTTTTGATATTTACATAGTTGGAGTATACTTAGTACTGTGCTTGTTTAAACTTTCAAATTGGTAAAAATAACTAAAGTATGTAATTTTCCCCAGAGTTAATGTCCTCCTAAGTTGACCTAAGGAAACCTGTGAATGTTTTAGGGTGTTAGTCTGCAAATTTTCGGTGATGGCATTTCATTATTTAAGCTACAGGTAGTCCTTAGTTAATGAAAAAGTGTTTTCTGTAATAAATTAAAAAAAAAAAACCCACAAAAAAAACCACAAACAAACCAAGGCTACAGGGCAGTCTCACTATTTTAAAGTGAAACCCAGCATTTGAATGATTATGAGTAATTACTTTTAGCAACACTAAGTAGTGACAAAAAGTTGGTTTTTATAAGTATTTGTCATCTCAGAGGGGCTGCTAATTACAGAGAAATACCCATCTGTTAGAAATAGGCTTGTTCAAAATAATAGGTAAATTAATCATTGTTTCCCCATACATTAAGCATATTCTCCCAGACTGCAGCCTTTAAAGTAATATCTGTGCTCTGGAGTGTTGAGGGAGGACTGTTGGGGAATGTCAAGGCTGTGCTGCTCTTGTGGTTTCACCCCAGGAAGCAGCTGAGCCACAGTAGCCCCTCTCTCTCCTGGGGAAGAGAATACACAAGGCTAAAAGTGCAAAACCTTGTGCACTGAGATAAATACAGTTTAATAGGGGGAGAAAAAGCTGCACATGGAACCAGAATCTAAACAAGGCATTAGCTCCTTCCCATGGGCCTGCAGATGTTCAGCCATCTCCAGGAGCTTAGGGCTTCATGCTGTGTAATGGCTGCATGGGAAAACAACGTGGCTCTGAGCTTCCCCCATTCCTTCTCCTTCCCTGCAGTTCTTTCTGCTGAGCATGGCACCGTGTTATCTGAAACATCCCCTGGGTCAGCAGGCATCAGCTGTCCTGACTGTGTCCCTGCCCAGCTCCCCATACATCCCCAGCCTGCTGGCTGGTGAGATGAGGTGAGGAGCAGCAAAGGCCTTGGCTCTGTGTAAGCAGTGCCCAGCAGCAGTGAAAACATCCCTGAGTTACCAACTCTGCTTCCAGCACAATCCCAAAGCACAGAACTCTCCAAGATACTCTGATGAAATTTAACTGGGTCCCAGCCAAAACCACTACAGCTGCTAACAAGACTTGAAGGAAACAGGACATAAAAATGACCCTCTTTATCAGTTTAAAGGAGACCTTTTTTTGTGTGTGTGTGACAGTAGCTGTAGTCTGAATTTATTTGAAATGTTGAAATTCAGTGTCCTTGGTATCATTGTGAGATGACCTGAATAGTGAGCAATAAACTTCTGCATTATAATTCACCTTTGAAGATAGGTCCCCTTGAAGTAAAACAAATAGAAAATGTATTGTGTTTACCTTTAAGCTGAAAAAAATCTATATGCAGTGACAGAGGCATTTTTAGGAAAAGAAAGCAAATAATGTTTTTCTAGTTAGCAGGCCCCAAGATAAGACAAGCTTAAGGGGCCAAAATACGTGTGATTATTAAAGGCTACTTGGTTCTTAGTTCATACAAATTGAATTCTTTCATACTCTGAAGGGCTGTGGAAATCTAGCAGAGTGTAGACTGTTGAAATGAAATTAGCATGTAAAGTGATTTTATATATGCAGGGATATAGCCACGAAGTTTGAATTAGAGAAAGAAATCTCATTACTCATCTTGTAAAAGAATTTCTAAATTCCATATTTGCTGTCACTGACATAAAGGTTTTGCACATGAACAGGTTTTTTGTGATTTCCCAAAGATACTGGATTATTGAATTGACAAAGATCTGTTCCATTCTCTCCTGACTTTTCTTTTATAGGATAACTGATTTTGACAATATTAAAAGAAGATTGTATTTGTCAACAGTCCACAAGGAGTTGTCTGTAACCCCTCTGCATGCAAAAATTCCTCTGTTTATGATCAAGCGCAAAATAGTAGGTACCTTGGGACTATTACCTGGACTGAGGTTGAGCATGTTTTCTAATCAGAAATATTTTGTGTATATTATGAACTTTTTGAAATTATTGCTTGTTTAGAACTCAGCTCCTACTGATATTTGTGTATGTCCCCTGTACCAGATGGCAGCAGAACCACGTAGTGCTGCACCTCTTCTATCCTTCTTCTTATATTATGAATTCATTCTCATTTTACAAAATTACTGCTGTTTGTGATGCTTCTTAACCTTTCCTGTTGATCCAGCCTCTATAAAATTCTCTGTGTCCCTGATCATTCTTCATGATAGTGCTCCTGCTCATGTATCCCTTCTCCTGTAGTGACCTCCGATGACATCCACTGCAGGTAGGCTGTATCTGATGGCTGCTTTCACATTCCTCAGGTTCTTCCAAATGCTGGTATATGTAGAACAATCTATGTGTCAAACTGATGAGAACAAAACAAAAACCTTTTTATTCTCCTCATTCCCCTCTGCCATGCCCAGCCACAACATATGATAATACAGGATACAAAGCCTGATGGTTACTGTATAACCATGTAAGGATTGAAGTCACAAAAACTGCTGTAGAAAATAAACTTGATATGAGAATAGTTAGATTTCAAATATTTTTAAATGTATATTTGGGTGAAGAGAACTAGATAACAGTATACTAAGCAGTTGTGAATTTAAGGCTAGACATGAGAGAGAATATTTTACAAAAAAACCTCTGAATTTATAATTTTTTTTGAGATAGGTTAAGTAATAGCAACTGTGGTAACTTCAAACTGAAAAGCTTTCTACTTTGTGGGAAGAAGTAGTTGGATTATTTTTTAATGAATATGTATCAGATCATACCCCGAAGTTGCTGTTAATTCAAAATCCAATGAAATTAAGTTCTTTTTCTTCATTGTAATTTCAGTTAGTTGGTGTCAGACTAGTACAGGTATTTCAGGATTAACGTGTGCATTAATGTACACCAAGTTAAACTCCAGCAGAAGATGAACTTCAGTTATGAATTTTAATTTCGATCATAAAGCATGAATCAGATATGTCTAGATGCTCTGATCATTTATAATGACAAAATATTTTAATAACCTTAATGCTTGACCAACATTAAAGAGTAGATCTATATTCCTTAGTGTATCTGAATACATATCTGTCTCCCTTAAATGGTTATCTGCCTTTTTACCATTACTTTTGTTTAAAAGAGGGAGCATGCTGCTTTCAGTGATTAGACAGATCTTTTACGTGGCTCTGATCATTCAACTTACTGTATGCACAAGCTGATTGTTATTATCAGCATGAGGGGTTGTGAATCAGGATATATAATAAGTTGTTTGTTCCATCAGCAGAACATTGTTTGCATTTTCACATGCTAGCTTTCTGTATTGTATTGCTACAAATTATTCCATTTTTCAACCTCATCACTAGAAGTAGCAAGTATAATTAAATACTGAATTTTTCAGTCCATTGCTTGGTGTCATCAAAACAAGTATTACTTTCCTTCCAAAATTTCAGATTTAAGACCTGAACAGTAATGTATGCACCTAAATTTTTCTCAAAATTATTTGCTGTTTGTTGATTAGAAGCTAATATTTCTACCTTGACTTTATAAGGAAATTAGGCATGTACAATCATTATGTTTTTACTTTTCTTTTCCCTTAAAATTTCACCCATTGATCAGCTAAATTTAACACATGAGTACTCATATAAAATATATTACAGTTCTGCAAATTGAATGAAAATTGGAAAATTCCTGCATTTCAACTCAAGGCTGTCTTGTTTATTTGTATAGAAAGTGTGTTAGCCTCAGCTCATGGGTTTTACTAAAGAGTATTGTTTCTCTTTTCTAGTGGTGCAATATGTGTATTGACTTGGTAACGTTTACCTATAAAATATTCAGAGGAGCTCTCTTCCAGTCCTTGGATGGAATTACTATTTCAGCCAACTGTAAGCTAAGAAAGGTCTTCACTTTAAAATTCAAGCCTCCAGTTACATCTGAGGAAGATGGTGTGTTTTAATTACTGTCTAGTCTTAATCATAACTGTTCATGTTATAAAATCAAAAGCTTCTTACTCATCAGATTGGAAATTTGAAGGATTACAGATGGTGTGTTTTAATTACTGTCTAGTCTTAATCATAACTGTTCATGTTATTCATCAGATTGGAAATTTGAATGATTTCTTAAAAATTAAAGTGGTAGTACAGCATATTAAATCTGCTAGTGTTGGACTTAGGGCAACTAATTAAATATGTGTGTACTCCTGTGTTTTAAACACTGAATTCCTTAGAAGTATTTTATTGAAAAAATTCTGGCAAGATTTATCAAGTAGAGAGCTTGTTTTAATGGGGGTATCTTATGCTGATAGAAATCATATTTTGGCCAGGAACATAGTATCTGAGAGAAAAGATACTGAAAACAGCAGCTGTTTGCTTTCTTAATTTTGGATGTTAGCAGCTGATGAAAGATTTCTTTCTGAAATAATGCAGACAAAATTGTAACAAAACATATGAAACAGAGCTATGAAACTATGATAAACACCTCAGATCATGTCCAGTTATCCTAATGTGGTCTTGTTTATTGTAAGTAATATTGGTGGTGAGCTGAAAAACAACGGGGTTTTTTTTGTAATAGATCAGGATACTGGTCAAATTTACCAGTCTCCAGACTCGCATCATAATCCTGAATCATCATTTTCTAAGGGGAGAACTTCATTCCTCACTGGTATTTGCAGTAATACAGGAGAAATTTCAAAAGCACAGCTGGCACTTTCTTATTTTAAAGGCACTCCTAGGAATAACTCAGCTTCTATTTCATTCAAATTTTCATTTTCTGGCTTTTAAGGAACACACCTGAAAAACGTTTCTGGTTTCAGAAGGAGGTGTAGTTAACAGTATTGTAAGTGTAGCAAAATGTATCTTCCGTTTGGAAACAACCAACCAATAGGAGAGAGTAGGCAAACCTTGTGATTACTCCTCTGATTTTTTGTTGGTAAGACTGGAAAAAATATTAATTAAAAATGTCTACAGAGAAAATATGGTAAATTCTCAGCAGTAAACTGCAGTTCAAGCTCTCACTGGCATTCATTTAATTTAATTCCATTGGTGCATTGTTTTTTCCCTTCCATTCTAAACAGCTTCTGAAATGTGCTTAAATATTCTAAATGAGTTCCAAAATTCTAAAATGCAGCTAACATAATGAGCCAACAGCTTTAATAAACTGTAAGCATACTAAAATATTACACTTTTAATTACTTCATTATCAATTCTATGATTATTACACAGCTGGTGGGCATTAGTACTTTCTGTGTGCTTTTGAATTTCCTTATCTAGGCAACTCATAGAATCAGAATCATGGAATTGGTTAGGTTGGAAAATACTTTTAAGGTATTTTGAGTCCAACAGATAAGCCAGCACTGCCAAGGCCACCACTAAGCCATGTCCCTAAGAACCCCACCCACATGGCTTTTAAATAGCACCAGGAATGTTGACTCCACCACCCTGGGCAGCCTGTTCCAGGGCTTGAGAACCCTTTTGATGAAGAAAGTCTTCCTAATATCCAGTCTAAACATCCTCTGGCACAACTTGGGGCTATTTCCTCTCATGTTGGTGCTTTTTACTTGGGAGAAGACACCAACACCTACCTCTCTACAAGGTCTCCCTCCACGCTGAGCAACCCCTGTTCCCTCAGCTACTCCTCTAAACTCCTCTAGACCCATCTTAAATTTCCATTGCAGCTGAAGGTTTGGCTGAATTTAAATGATTCTATGTTCGTACCAAATTAAAGAAAAAACAATAGTAAGATTTTTTTTTATTATTAATTAAGTTTCAGATAACAATTACTCTTTAATAAAACTTTTTCCCCTCTCAGAATAACTGGACCAGTTAGTTGAGCCCCACTGAATGCAGTGGCATAGCAACTTGTATTGAGAGTTGTGCTTTAACCTTGGCCAGCAACTAAGCAGCACACAGCCACTGCCCTCAGTGGGATGGGGGAAAGAATCAGAAGGGTAAAAGTAGGAAAATATATGGGTTGAGATAAGAACACCTTAATAATGCTAAACTGTAATGACAAGGGGGAAAAAAAAAGATAAATAAAACCCAAGAAGGACAATTGTATTTTATTTGCATGATTTGTTTACCACCAGCAGCTCCCCCCAGTGAGCTTTCCCTCTAGTTGATATGCTGAGCACACTGCCATGTGGTCTGGAATATCCCTTGGGTCAGTTGGGGTCAACTGTCCTGCCTGTGTCCCCTCCCAGCTTCTTGTGCCCCTCTGCCATCTGCTCCCTGACAGGGCAGCTTGGGGAGCTGAACAACAACTCACACACCAGTGTGTCATCAGCACTGGTCACATGCCAGATCCAACACACAGCCCTCTACCAGCTACTGGGACAAAAGTTAAATCTTTCCCAGCAGAAATCAGGACAAGGATCGAGTTCTTTGCTTCAAATTCTTGGTGTGATGGAAGTACTGACTTCAAGATGCAATGAGTGTGTTACTCTTTTCAAGTAGCAAGTATACAGTATGTTTTGAATTTTTAAAATGACAGTAAATGCAAAGGAGAAACCACATATATGAAGAAATTATTTCAGTATGAGATCATTGAGATAGAAGAGGAAATACTTCACCTTTCCTGCCTCATGACACTGAAGCATACAAGTATAACCTATACCTAGTTTCTTGTTTCCATAGTGATGCAGAACTTATGTATGGGTTTTTATCACTAAGTATTGCCCAACAGTGATAAATAATGTACTGGCTTGGTAAAAAAAAACAAAAAAAACCCACATTGAAAAAATATGTCCTGTACTGAAATACAGCATGGGACATTTGATTTTCTTATTAAAATCTTAATACTTGATCCCTTATTCATGTTTCGGCTTCAGGTTGGGTTTTCCTCTTCTTTTCCTTGGAAAATAGGCTAATTCATTTGCTTATTATATTCAAGTATTCTAAAATTTGCACTGAATTTGTGTTGTAACATCAGGAATGGTTCTGACATGGATTCCTTTCTTTGCAGAGAGCAGCTTTCATAAACTCAATCTATATTGGTTATCAAAGGGAAAGCACAGATAATCAGCTCACATTCTACTAGTGCCTGGTGTCACAAGAATACATAGGTTGACAGCTTTGTAGTTTATCATGAAAGCATAATGGAGTCCAAAGTTTGGAACTAAAGCTTGTTAAATTCTTTATTTGCATATATGGGACTTCTTTGCTACTTCAGTCCCACAGATAGGAATACCATATTTAGCTGTTCATTTTATCAGAAAATCAGTGTGTCAGTGTTACAATTATAGCTGAGTAGTAATAAAATTAACAAAATGTATTTCATTATTGTTTTGTTTGCTCTCTGGACATTTCAAAGTTGATTTTCCATTGCTATTCCAGCCATTAGTGAATATTTCTATAACTGTATTCAAAATGTTTGGCCTAAAAGTATACACAACATCATTTTAAAATTTGCAATAACCAATGGCAACAAATTTTTTTAAATTACCATAACCTTTTTATAGCCATGTGAACTAAAGTATATGTAATCTACCAAATAATATAAGTCAAATTGAATTCCATAGTGTCATGAAGTAAAGACCATGGTTTTTTTTATTCTAGGTGCATGCATTGTTTCACCTGGGCCATATGAGGCCTCAGATGATATTCCTCTAACCTGCCAGCTCAATTCTGATGTCCCACAAGTTACACAAGTGCTGGATCTAAATGAAATTCACAAGCCAAAAATAAAATGTAGGGAAAATGCAGTGCAAGAAACAGGTATTCTGTTGTATTAAAATACTGTGAATACAATCCATACAGTATGTGTAGAAAGAACTAATTGTTTTGTAAATGTCCATGTTAGGAGTTCCAATGTCTTAAAATGAAACATGACAGCTCCTGCACACCTGTAGTGCCTCAGGCACATGGACACATGTCTGTTCTATAGTTTGAGATCTGTGTGGAGCCTCAACAGTTCTAATTCAAGCATGAGATTTATAACAATATTTGAGATGTCATATGAATGTTCATTGAAGCATTTTGCAGTGAAGTTGTTACACTTCTTTTTAAAGTATGTTCACATCAATGAAACTTTGCTGGCAATATGAGCATGCAGTGTCCTCAGCTTATACTCTGAAAAGGGAAATCTTTTCTTATTGGTGTCTTGTCTTATTTGAATGTTTCTTTAAGCTACAAAATAATAAACCATATAATTTAGACTTTGGCAGCATTGCATTGATTTACTAAAGAAGCTGGGCAGTTGTGTGCTACAATACAAGCTATTGACTTGGATAAAAGCTAAGAGAAAGCAAAGAAAATATTAAATTTTAAATTATTGTTACAGATGAAGGCTAACAGCAGGAGACCTAAAAGGTTTTTGTTCTAGTCTCTGTATTGTTTATCATAATTATGAATAATCTCAACAGAGAAGTGAATAACAGGGGAGCAAAATTTTGTTATGATACAGATACTGGTTTTATAAAGAGTGGGACTTCAGAAAGTTTTAAGCTTGTGAGATGGGCAATCCCATATTTACTTTTTCCTGAAAAACAAAGCAGGTAACATGCAGGAAATATCACAGTTTTCAAAATAAGGTTTTCAGTTTTCTGGTTTTATGTCTTGTGGCCACTGTGTTGAAAAATTATGGTCTAGGGACCACTGTATGGGGTAAATGTGGAACATGACATCACATAAAATCTAGCTTTGCTAAATGCAGAGGATTCTACATTGGGGAGGAACGATAACTACAGTTAAGCTTTAAAGGATCAAAATTAAATGACTCAAGGCAGGCAGGTTATCATCACCATAGATACAGCTCAGTAGAACTTTCAGATTTTAATACATTTTAAAAAACTAAGTAGCAGGAAATTCAAATTCATAGGAAATGAAAAAGGTATCAAACCTTTAAATCATTTTTGCATTATTATCTGAAATACTTTATACATTATCAGCTAAACCATCTCAGAAAATATCTTACAGACCAAGAAGTGATTCAGGGAGAAGCAGCATGAATGATAATCTCTCA